AGGCGAGAGACCCCGAGGGAAAACCTCACACGTTTCGACATCCCTCACGGGTGTCGGGCTTGGCATAGCTCGGACGTGTGCATGTTTCCTTGGGCGAGGACCATCCAGGAGCATCCTTGATCATATGGCGAAACAGCCACGCACGAAACCGAAAAAAACAGGGAATGGACGTCCGAGCGATGGCCAGCGGGCCCCTCCAGGGTTTGCCTGGGACGTCCCTGAGCCACTTGGAGCCACCTTGGGGTGGTGCTGCGGCTTCATGGAAGCCTGTTGGATGGCAAGACGAACCCTCTTGAGCTATATCGGGCCCTCTCGGAGGCCGCGTGCTGGGGCAGCCGAGACCCTCTATGGGAGGCCTCCTGGGCTCCTCGCCCGCCCCCCCCGGCGTGCTCCTCGCGGTGTTCCTGCTCCCTCCTCTTCCCCTCCTCCTGCTTCCCTCTCGCGCCCCTTCCCCCCCTCGGCCTTGGTATCGCTCGGACGTGTGCACTTTGTCTCGGCGGGGATTATTTAATCGCTTCGCTCATTCCGCCGGCCCGTATTGTGCCATCGCAGGCTTTTGCTTGCGCGTTCGTGGCCTCTTGGAGCCTCGGTGGTGCCGTTTGGGGCCTCTTGGCGCCTCTTGTTAGGCCTCTTGGAGAACTCGGGAGGCCTCCAGGGGGCCTCCTGAGCTCTCGTGACGGTCTCTTGGGGGGCTTTCGGCGGGCTCTTGGCGGTATTTGTTGGTCCTCTTGGGGCCTGGGGCCTGACGTTGTTGGTCCTCTGGGGGCCTCACGGGAGCTTATTGGGGCGTCTTGGGGGTGTCTTGGAGAGTCTTTTGGGGCCTCTTTCGGGGTCCTGGGCTTCTGGGGCGGAGGGCTCGATTTTTCAGTTCTCGGTTCCCTTCTTGAGCCCCTCTTGGGCCCGTCTTGGGGCCTCTTGGTCCGCCTTGGGCAGCACTTGGGCCGTCTGGGGGGCGCTCTTGGGCCGCTCCGGGGCCGTCTTGGGAGCCTCGTGGGCCGTCTTGGAGCAGTCTTGAAGGCCTCTTGGGCCCTCTTGGAGCGTCCGGAAGCGAAAAGGCCAGAACGCAAAAAAACATAGAAAAAACCAATGAAAATCAACGATTTTGGCAACTTGGGGCCCTCTTCGGAGGCCTCTTGGAAGGCCCTTGGAGCGTCTTGGAGGCCTCTTGGGCTGTCTTGGGGCCATCTGGGGCGTCTTCAGGCGATCTTTGGCCGTCTCGGGCCTCTCTTGGACCGTCTAGAAAGCTTCTCGGGGCCCTCTTGGACCGATCTGGAGCCCTCTTGGACTCCGAAACAGAACTCCGGCATCTCTGGCCCGACCTTGCTGGGACCTTGCCGGGGACTTGCCGGGGACTTCCGGGACCTTGCCGGGGTATTTTTCGTCCGGGGACCCCCAGGGGCCGCCCCGCGCGCGCGAACTAGAAATACTGTTAACCAGGTACCGGAGATCTTAGCACGCCCTGGCCCGTTGGGCCGGCGAATTGAGGAGCATCCTGGATCATCCTGCGAGAAAAAACAAAACACGCACGAAACCCAAAAACGCACAGGGAATGCACGTCCGAGCGATGGCCAGCGGCGCTCCAGTCAGAAAGGGCCCCGCCTTCGGCACACGTCGCCTCTGGCGGAAGCCACGAGACAGGCTGGGCGGAGAGGCTGGCGGGAGCCAGGCGGGGAGCAGGTCCCACAGGTGTCACAGGTCTCACAGGCCCCATGGGCCACAGAGGTCCCCTAGGTCGCACAGGTCCCACCAGTCCCGCAGGTCCCATAGGTCCCACAGATCCACACTTCCCACCTGCCACAGAGGTCCCGCATGTCCTACACGTCCCACAGGCCACAGAAATCCCACAGGTCCTACAGATGGTACAAGTCCCACAGTCCACACCTGCCCCACGGGTCCCACAGGTCACATGTGCTGCTATTAGGGTGCTTTGCTGGGACACGCTTCCGCTGATAGAGGAGACACACATCAGCGCAATCGAGTGGGATGGGGGGGAAGGAAAGGATGTCAGATGTGGCGCACTTAGCCCCATCCCGGAACTCCTGGTCGCGGGGTGTCCGTGATCCCGTATGGCAGTTGACGCTTCACTGCGTCGCCGGCGGCGAACCCCGCTGTCGTTCCAAGTGCAGCGAGGAGGGGTGCGCGGTTGAGTGGGGGGCGCAGGAGCCTTCTGGAACCTCTCCGCCGTGCCGAAGAGCCATGGCACGCCCAACGATGTGGGCTCACCTCAGGCCAGGCGCCGAGGCACCCGACCTGGCATGCACCCGCGCCACCGCGTGGCGTCAGCGGGGAGCCAGCGTCGGACCCGACCGACGCGGGACCCCCGACCATCTTCTCCATCGCCCCGACCACGAAGCCTTACTCCTTAACCTGGCATCGCTCGGACGTGTGCATTTTTTCTTGGCGAGGGCCGTCGAGGAGCATCCTTGATTATTTCGCGAAAAAACCACGCACGAAACCGATAAAAACACAGGAAATGGACGTCCGAGCGATGGCCAGTTAATGTCGTCGCCGCACTTCGGACAGCAGCTCCGCATGCCGCGCAGTGTCTGAGCGCCAACTTCTTCGGGATCGGCGTCACGCAGAGACTGCACTTCATCTGCTGCCGCTCCCGCCGCGTGCACAGCGGGCACGGGTCAGTCAGGACGGCCTGCGCTGCCGCAGACTGCACGCCATCGCCTTCCATCGGCGCCGCCAGCAGCTCCGACCCGACCCCGCGGACATGGTGCCGGCCCGGATGCCGCTCCGCTCACCACGCTCCGCCCATCGAGGGCTCTTCCGCTACATCTTGGGATGCGAACACCTGCCCCCAGGGGCGTTTCAGCCGCGGCTCGGAAGGAGCATCGCGCCACTCAGCCCCCTCCATGCACGCATCCTCGCCAGACTCCGTGCGCCGCAGCGGGACGGCAAGAGCACGAGCTCGTGGTTGGGTCGTCGGCTCGCGACCCCGCAGTGCGGACTCCGCGGACCCTCGGAGACGACCAAGATGTTGCTCCGCGCTCCTCCCGCACTGCGGCCGAGGCCTCGCTCACGACGACGTTCACGATACCCTTGAGCCCATGGGAGGCCCAGCCACGGCTCGGCAGGCGCCTCGCTCCACCCAGCTTTGCCCGCGTATTCGTCCGCCTCGCGCTCCTCTTGCACTCCCGCCTGCCATCGGTGCCTGCACGAGCAGCTCGTCGACGAACGCCTCGACGACTGCGCCGACGCTCGCCCACCGCCTCGCTGCGAGAAGAAGATCGGCCACGGCACCCACGGGCGACTCCAGCTCCGCCACGGCCGTGCCGGCGCTCCGCAACGGCTCGGGAGCAGCCTCGAGCCGCCCAGCCGCGCTCGCGTTCAAGCTCTCGCCCGTCGCCATCGTCACGCCACGTCATCCATCGACGTGTCATGCTGCTCGAGCTCCGCCGCACTCGGCCTCTACCCCTCGTCCGCATTCATACCGGCTGCCCCCAGGCCAAACCGTGGCTCCGCATGCTCACAGACGGCGTGCCGCGCGGCAGGCAGCCAGAGGGACGCACGGCACACGTGCCACCGGCGCCATGTCCCAGCCGAGGTCCCAGGACGGGTCCACCAACGACGCGCCCGAGAATCCGCCAGGCGGCACTCGGCGCGTGAGCCAGGCAGCGTTCGGCCTCAGCCGCTGCGCCCAGGAACGCGCTCATCCGCAACACCTTTCTGCAGCGCCAGTCTCGACGCCCAGCGCTGGTCTGCCCGCCGCCCAGCACTGGCCCATGCACAGTGGCTGCATCCCGGCGCGCTTGCATTCAGAACTTCCTGTTACGCCTTTCTCCTTGGCCTTCGTTCCACACGTATCCGCGCCGATGCGCCGTCTGGGCGCGGCTTCTTCCGTCAGCCAGTCGGCCTCGACGAGCGCCCGCCGCCCGCCCACGAGCCCAGGGCGCCGCGCCCCGCCCCCTCGAGTGGCCGCGGCCTTGCCTCCAGCAGGGCCGCACGGCCGCGCCGCCGAGCCGAGCGCCGCGCCGCGGAGGCGCCGCGGGAGCCCTTCCCCGGGGCCCTCGGGGCCACCGCGCAGGCGGGCAGCCCCCCCCCTCCCCGCACCCCATCGTGACGAGCAAGGCGGGCGCCTGGCAGCGCGTCCAGCGGCGCGCGCCGAGCCAGTTCTAGCCAGGGGGGGTCGTCCTCAGACTGGCCTGGGCCAAGATGGCTGCGCAGGCGAGGTGGGCGAGGAGGAGGGAGGAGCAGGGGAAGGATGAGAGAGGAGTAGGGGAGAGGAGGGAGGAGGGGGCGAGCGAGGCAGGAGCAGGGAGGAGTTGGGAGGAGGCATTAAACCTTAGAAAGAGTGGGGCGAAGAGAGTATTGATAGAAGGGAAGGAGGATCGAGGAGGAGGAGGAGAAGGAGGAGGAGGTTGAGGAGGTTGAGGAGGAGGAGGAGGAGGAATAGGGATGGGGAACAATAGTGGTAGGAATGGAGGCGGGAGGAAAGACCAGGCAGAACAGGCAGATGTTTACGGTGAGAGCATACGGCAAAAGGACATGCAGGAAAAAGGGCTGGACCTGGTGCAGAAGCAGGATGAGCAGGAGGCATGAGAGGTGGATCAGGATGAGCCGCAGCAGCAGCAGCAGCAGCAGCAGCAGCAGCAGCAGCAGCAGCAGCAGCAGCAGCAGCACCACAACCAGCAGCAGCAGCAGCAGCAGTGGCATGCGGAACAGGGGAGTGGGAGGAGTCAGAGGAGCATGGGAAACAGAAGCAGGAGCAGGAGCATGGCCATGACGTAGGAGGGGGGAGCTGTAGGAGCAAGCGGAGCAGGAGCGGGAGCAGGGGCATGAACACGAGCAGGCGGAGGTGGATCGATGATGGGGGAGGGAACTGGCGGCGGAGGAGGAGGGCAGGCGGATGGACAGAGGAGCGATGAGCGGATGGAGGAGCTGACGGATGAGGAGCTGGACTCCTCCCAGCTTCTCCCTCCTCCTTCCTGCCTTCTGTCCTCCCGGAGGAAGGCTAGGCAACTCCGTGCCATTGTCGGCCGGCGGCGCGCCAGCTGAGCGGCTCCTCCATCAGCTACCTCCGGGAGCTGGGCACCGGGCTGAGGCGGCTGGAGGTGCACGCCCGCGGCCAAGCAGCACGGCCCCTCCTCGGGCCCAGGCCTCCAACCGGTGGCTCAAAGATGGGGTCCTGAGGGATGGGATGGGGTCCTGAGGACGAGGGGCCCCCCCGATCCTTAGGACCCCATCCCGCAGGAGCTCATCTTGAACCACCGATCCAACGTCGCGAGCAGAAATCTGGGCGGGCGGGCGGTTCTCCGCGGGCCCTCTTCCGGGCCCAGAGGCCATTCAGAGAACGCCCCGCGACGAAAAGCTGACCCCCCGGGACGGGGTCGGAAGCTCCGGGGGCTCACGTCGTGAACAAAGCACGGCGGCGGAGGTCTGGAGGAGGACGGGGCGCCTTGGTCTGGTGCGTTTGCTTGGTGGCCGATGATGTGGAGGTGGGCCGTTTGGGGCGAGTCCAGACCTCCAGGCCTCTGGTGAACGAGGACTGCGGGCCTGTCCGCGACGTTGTCGTGCCACGGGGCCTCCACGAACCGAGCTGGCTCGGACAGTGCCACGCTGATTTCATCCATCGTCCGGAGAGTCGTGTGCTCCTCCCTCGGTGCACAGGCGAGCGCGTCTCGTGTGTGGAGGGGAACTCTCCTGGGGCGGGCTGCTCCATGCCCCTGTCAGGCCTGCGTCTGCTTTCTGGTCAGGGCCAGTTCTTCCCTACAGTGCGGGCCCATGCCAAGAAGCACCCTGCTGGCCTCCAGGGTGCCCTGGGTTTCTTGGGTCTCGATGGCTCTGCTACGGAAAGCGTGACGCCCCCACTCCGGAAAATCCATGGACGTCCCGGGATCTCAGGGTTCTGTTTCTTGTCGAAGGTTTCTTGTGGTCGGGCCCCTGCTGTATGCACCTCAGGGCTGGACCTAAACCAAACGGTGTTTCTGGCGATTTCGTGGGCCCTTTTCGTTTCGACTTCGTTTTGAGGTGAAGGCGGATTCGAGACGAAAGCGTTGGACAACGAAAACAAAACGAAAACGAAAAACACCGCCCAGGACTCAGGCCTGGTGCACCTCGCGCCTGCCTGGCGGGAGCCTCCCTGCTGCCCTGGGTCCGCGGCGGGCCGCGCGCCGCCTGCGCACGTCGGGGCCGCGATTTGCCAGGCCCCTGCTGCGGCCAGCGCCCCGCCGGTAGGGTCTTTGCCCGGAGGACGTGGGGGCTCTCCTCGGGCAGGCAGCCTCGGATCAAATCGTGCGTGTCCCTCTACAGAAGGAACATTCCCCGGTAGTAGAACAATCTATTTGGGACGTTTTTTATTAGTTGGGTATGTTTGTCGAATATGTTTCACTACTGCGAAGGCCTTACGGCCGGTGCCGCCGACCCTGAGAACGACGAAGATGAAACGAGGGGGGGCAGGGGGAGGAGGATGAGTGGGAGGTGGAGGAAGGGTGGAGGAAGGGTGGATGAGGGAGGAGGAGGGGGGAGAAGGATGTGGAGGAGAAGCAAGAGGAGGAGAAGGAGGCAGAGGAGAGCAGGAGGAGGGGGGAGGAGGAGGAGGAGGAGGAGGAGGAAGAGGAGGAGGCCAGAGCCTCTCGTGGGACAGCCTGGGGCTCTCTTGAGGCCGTCTTGGGCCGTCCAGGGCTCCTCTTGCGCCGTCTCGAGGCACTCTTGGAGGCCTCCTGGGCAATTTGGGGCTCTCCTGGGCTGTCTTTGGGCAGTTTGGGGGCCCCTTGGGAGCCTCTTGGGGCCTCTTGGGGCTTCTTCGGGGCCTCTTGGGGGCCTCTTGGGGCTGAGAGCTCGAAATGTCCGTTCGGGTCCCCCGTCAGGGCACTCTCCTGCAGACGTCTTGGGGGCCTCTTGGGCCGTCTTGGGGGCGTCTTGGGCCGTCTTGGGGCCCTCTTCGGCCGTTGGGGGACCCTCTTGGGGGCCTCTTGGGCCGTCTCGGGGCGATCTTGGGGGCCTCTTGGGCCGCCTTAGCGCGTCGGGAAGCGGAAGAGGCAAGAACGCCAAAATCTTCCAAAAACGTATGGGAAATCCATGAATCTTGCTTCTTGGGGCTTTCGTGGGAAAGCTCCTTCCTGGAGGCCTCTTGGGACGCTTTGCAGGCCTCTTGGGCCGTCTCGAGGCCGTCAAGGCGTCCTGGACAGATCGTTCGGCGATTCGGGGTTCTCTTGGACTGTCTTTGGGGCCTCTTGGGGCACTCTTGGCCCGTCTTGGGGCTTTTTTTGCGCTCCGGGACTCCCAGGGGGGGCGTCGTATCTGATCCCCCCCCCCCCCCCGGGAGCCCCCCCCGCCCCCCCACACCCGCCCCCCCCCCTGCGGGGGAGGGATCGAAGGGAAGGGGCTTCCTTTCGACTCAATTACGACGTTGCTCAACTTTGTTTTGGCTGGCGCGCTGAGGAGGTCCCTGGGAAAGGGGGGAGCTTCGACGAGCCCAGGGAAAGGGGGGAGGCAGGAAAAGGGGACGACAGAGACGACGACCAACGAATGACGTAGATGACGACTTGAACGGACAAGCCCCTCACACACGCCGACAGGGTCGGCGGATTTTTTATATTTCGTCCAAAATCCACCTGTAGGGGGACATGTCCGACTGTGTATATGCGATCCCCAGGTGGGGGGGGTGCTCCTTCCGAGGCGAGTGCGCCCGTCCTTTGGCGCAGAGCCAGTGCAGACGATTCGTTTTTCCCCCCTGCTCTCCCGTGCGCTGGGCGTCCAGCCAGGCAGGGGGGCGTCCGGGAACTCCCCCGTGCGCCGTGCGTCCAGCCAGGCAGCGGGTTGGCCGTTTTCGGTTCGCGAGAGGGCGTCACGGCCGTTATGTTTGCGGGTCCGGGTCCATCGGTTTCGGTCCTGGGCCGTTTTCACTAAAAAGGGTAGTTTGCTAAAGGGAGGTTTGTCCACATCCGAGTAGCGACACGTGGACGAGCGCACTGGGGAACGCGGGGGGCCCCGCCACCTTGAGACTTTCCCGTGTTTTTTTTTGTTGTCACGGCCTCGGTCGTTTGGTTTCTGTTGGCGGCCTAGCTCTGGAGACCCAGAACATAGAGAGCAAGGCATGGTATCGACAGTTGGAGTCGTCAGAGGAGGGGGACAACGGGGAGAGGAGGATAGCATCGGGTCAACCAAGGACCCCTGGTACTGGAAGACGTTTGGTGGCAGGACTCCGAAGCCCAAAACGTAGCTGCAATACCTGCGCGTGCGCCGCCCCCAGGCCAGACCTTCTGAACAGGGCTTTCCGTTGCCAGCATTTGTTTCGCTGACGGCAGTGCCAGTTCGCGGTGGGTGCGGAGCGCTTGCGGCACGGCGGGCCCCCCTGAAGTGTATCAGTCCTACTAAGTGGTCCATGCCACGCAAGTGGGTAGGAGGAGAACGATGTCGACAGAGGACGAGGCAGGGGAGGAGGGAGGAGGAGGCGGAGGCGGACGACGACGACGACCATGACGACAAATGTAGATGTTCGTAGTAGTGGCGAGAAAGAGAGGGATATGTCCAAGCAAGACCGAGCGAGACAAGATTCGAGGCTCAGCAACCGCACTGGTGGCAGCGAGAAGTCTGAGCGGGTGGACGATGTCCAGGAGCAGGAGCAGGAGGACTAGTGACTAGTATGAGTAGTATGAGCAATCGATGAAATCGGTTGATGCTTGAGCCTTTTTGGTTTTGGATGTCTGAATGCTGGAGTGGATTCTCGTGCGAAGAACCTTCGATCTTCTGCCTTTGGGCTCTCTGGGAGCGGGAGGTTTTATGGCTTAGCTGCTGTGGTCTGCAGGATCCGCCCCGCCGCGCCGACGCGTTCCCTCCCCCTCGTCCTCCTCATCCCTCTTCCTCGTCCCCCCGAGCTCCTGGGCCAGTTCGAGCGAAGCTTCGGTGATCTGCTCCGGCCGTAGGCCGAGATCCCCGAGCCCCCGCCGCTGCCGCTGTTGGCACGCTGCCCCGGTCGGCCAGACGCGCACTCCAAACGCGAAGTTGGCTTCTCGGATGTTCGAGTCTCTGGGGATCGTGCTCTCTGCTGTGCGGCCTTGCACCGTCTCGATGCGCGTTTGCATCCCGGGGACGGTCGCGAGCGGGGGCAGAGGTGAGTTTTTGTTTCGATTCCTCCCCAGCGTGACGCTCGTTACTTGACCCCCCCCCGGGGTAACGCTAACGCTCGTACTGGGTTGGGTGGCCTGGACCCCCCGCTACATGCCAAAGGGAGGACCCCCCGCAGGTATGGCGCTGTGCTCACAGGCATGGTGGGTTGCTGAGACGCATGCTTTTGGTGTTCGCAAACGTGTTGTGGCGCTCACAGGCTCCCCACCTGTTGCGTCGCCGAGCTCACAGGCATGGCGTGGTGCTGAAAGGCATGTTTCCGTGCTCACTTGCGTGCTGTGGCGCTTGCAGGCTATTCTGGTGCGCATAGGTCAGGCGGACTCACTGTTGCGGCGAGCCCAGCAAAGAGGCGAGAACGAGGAGGAGGAGGAGGAGGACCAAGAGCAGAAGGAGGAGGAGGAGGAGGAGGAGGAAAAGGCGAGGAGGAGGAGAAGGAGAGGAGGAGGAGTCGGCCGTTTCCTGTCGGCGCTCTATGGTTTTGTCGGCGGCGACCGGGCGATGAGGAAGAGGAGAGGGATGAGGAGACGAAGGAGGAGGACGAGGTGGAAGAGGAGGAGATGAATGATGAGTCTTGAGGGCCTCCGTGGTCTGCAGCGAGCCCCGCAAAGAGGCCTCGAAAGCTACTAACTAATGTGCTCGCTGGCACGTTTGGCCTTCTGGTGTACACAGGCGTTGTGGTGCACGGAGGCATTATGGCGTGCCCAGGCGCTGCGGTACGCATGGTTGCTGTGGTCTACACAGGCGCTGTGGTGTACACACGCGCTCTGGCGCACGCAGGCAATGTGGTGTACACGGGCAATGTTGCGCACACGGCTGCTGCAGTTTACACAGGCACTGCGGTGTACATAGGCGACGTGGTACTGCGGTGCACGTGGCTGCTGTGGTGTACACAGGCGGCGCTGTGTTGCACGCAGGTGTTGGGCTTTGTCGTGTGCACACGGACTGTGGTGCACACAGGCGATTGATGCGCCAGTGGCGCGGACGCACCCTGGCGGGTGCACGCCGCGGCCGCCGTTACCGTTACCCTCCCGCCCGAACCCCCCCCCCAGTAACGACCGTTACCGGGGAGGGAAAAAAGAACGCTCACAGCCCGCGCGGAGCTGCGGGCGGGGCGTCGGCGGACTCGGTCGGGTGCGATTGGGCCGTGGCGCGAAGCGGCCGGTCCCCGAGGCGTGTCACACACGGGCTCCAGGCCAACGCGCGCGGTTCCTCGGCCCAGGTGCCCAGGCGGCACGAGGGCGGGCCTGGTGAGGTCATGGGCAGAGGGCCGGCCTGGAGAGGGGCCTTCCAGGGTTCAGGTGCGCGGCACGGGCATGCGGCGTGCCGATCACCAGTTGATTCCCGATCTCCACCCCCATGCCTCTGGCGATGTGGAGCCGATGTGGGCAAGCAGCGCGCCTCCGTCTGACCATGTGGATTCGCGATCGGAGCGGGCTTCGAACCCGCTCAAAACAATGGGGGGAGGGGTGGCGGGTTCTGATCGGTTACATGTGTGTTGGTCATGATTGAGCGCGTCTGTTGTTTGTTTCGATGCTCGGATTCGCCTGCAGAAATGTGTCTGTGTGTGGCGCAGTGAGATTAAGCAGTACGTTGCGTAATGTGACGTCATGCTGCGTGAGCGTGTGCATTGTGATGTCATGTAATGCAGTGTGGCGCAGCGCAGGGCAGCGCGATCGTGTGCGATGTCTGGCAGGGTTCGCAGGGGGAGCAGCACCCGCAGCCGCAGGAAGAGGGAGCAGGCGAAGGGGAGATGCTGGGAGGAGGAGGAGGAGGAGGAGGAGGAGGAGGAGGAGGAGGAGGAGGAGGTAGGAGGTAGGAGGTAGGAGGAGGTAGGAGGAGGATAAGGAGAGAAGGAGGTGGAGGAGGTAGGAGGCAGGAAGCAGGAGGCAGGAGGCAGCACGCCCATCTGATCCTGGCAAGGTCCGCCTCCGTGCCACCGCAGCACGCCGTGTGCTCTCGCTCCGCGGCCTGGCGAGGACATCAGTGGCATCGCCGGCACGATGCCGGAGTTGCGCGAGCTGTTCTTGCCCTTCAATGACATCTCGGACCTCTCGCCTCTCAGCGCGCACGAGGTGTTGGAGGTGCCGCAGAGGAGGACGGGGGAAGGAAGAGGTCGGATGGAGGAAGAGGATTTTCCTTTGCCTTCCCGTGGGCGTTGTGGCAGGGAAGCCTGGTGCAGGGAGCGAGCCGACGCACTGACCCTGCGCCCTGAATCCCCCCAAGTTCAACGAAGATAACCCAGACAGTGCAGGTGCGATATGACCGAATAATGTTACTCAACGGCTACTGAGCCTGGATAGGATACTAATCACGCGCCCGTGTTAACACGGCCAAATGCTCCATGTGCGCAGAAAGTTCATCGGGTTCGGCACCAGTCCAGATGCTGTCGTCGTTTTTGTTGCACCACTCGCATGCGCCAAGTAATGATACCGATCCGAATGAAATGATGCTCCTTGCAGATGTTGGCAGACAGTATTCGCAGTCCTTGCAGGGTCTACGCCGTCTGTGTGAATGGAGGGCGTTGAGAAGTCGTGCGGATGTCACCTGATGGTTTTTTCACGGGGAAGGTCACGGGACGCCTAAATAAGACCCAATCAGTGCCCGCGCTGATCATCGAAATCTCGTTATCGAGTGCGTCAAGTTGTCAGGCGCCGCCATGTCTCCCAGTCTTGCGAATGCCGCCAAGCGCAATGCCGCGACCGTTCGTGCACCGTTCTCTCCACCCTTCTGTGTCGGAACCGAGCGCTCGACGGAAGTTACCATGCTTCGCGCAGCGAGACCTTCCCACAATAAAGATGAACGTGCACGCGGGTTTGCGTTATGATTTTAGGGGGCGAACAGTGACATAAACACAATAACTCGGAGGTCCGCGCGAATTTCTCGGATCGGCGCTGGCCCCTCCCCTGGCGGCTTCTCCGGCGCCGCTTCTGGCGCGCTCCGCGCGCCAGGGAGGGGGATCCAGCGCGGATCCTCAGCCACGACGCGAGGGTAGAGGGTGCACGGGGAGAACGTGCCACTCGACGGCCAGCAAGTTCACCGATCACGGATCACCGCATATTCCCCAAGTGGGTTTGTCAAAGGATGTTTTGCTCGTTTGTGAATGAATCCGGTGGGCGTGGGTTCTTCGTCAGAGTCGTTCCTCGGGGTTGCCCAAGCATTGCCAAGTAATGCCAAGCAATGCCACGCACTTCCAAGCGATACCAAGCACTGCAAAGCAATGCCAAGCAACGATTCCAAGCAATGCAAAGCTAATGCCAACCAATGCCAAGCAACGCAATGCACAGCAATGCCCAGCAATGACAAGCATCACCAAGCAATGCAAAGCAATGCCAAACACTGCTACGCAATGCCAAGCAATGCTACGCAATGCCAAGCAACGATTCCAAGCAATGCCAGACAACGTCAGGCAATGCCAAACAATGTACTGCACTGTTCTGCATTCCGCAGAATTTTCTTTGACTTGTTGTGAGAGAAGAAGAGACCCCTAATTGGGGTTGCGCTGGGTTATTTCAAAGCATCAGGAAAATCAGAGGAGCAGCAGGCAGCAGCACAGTTGCTCCTAGAAGGCGTCTCACTACTAGTAGTGGATGGTTTGATCTCAGTCTTGAAGCTTGAAGCGGTTATCTCCAGTTGAGAGAATTGGTAATACGATGAAGATAAATGAGTGGATGAATTGAGGCATAAGGTTGCATTGGTGAGAAACGCTGGTACCAGTAGCATATGAAGCAGTGGTAGCATGCAACGCAACAGCATTGGCAGGGACAGTGAGACGACCATAAGGAGTTTGGGAACTGTCAGGGTCTGCTAGGGCTGTACAGTGAAAGCCGTGTTGTGCAGGTGTTGGATTTGGAGGGCAACGCCGTGCATGACTTGGACGAGGCTGACCCTGTATTGATATGTCCCGAAGCGGCGCATAGGGAGATCGCGTGAATTGCCACGCCCACCAGCAACATAATCCAATTCCAGTAAAACATGGTGATACCTTTAGGATACGCCTGCGAGGCCAAACGTTTGGGCAAAGTGTGGCCTCGCTAGTGTACCATGCGTTCCCCCATCCGTTGTGGAAGCCCTTCTGGAAACGCGTGGGGGAGGACAAGTAGGAGGAGGAGCAGAGAGAGGAATCAGGAGAAACAGGGGAGAAGGAGGAGAAGGCCTCGTGGGAGCATCTGGGGCCACTCTTAGGGCCTCCTGGGAGCTTCCTGGAAGCCGTTTGGAGGTCTCTTAGGGGCCTCCTTGGGCCTCTTGGGGGCCTTTCGGGGCAACTTTGGGGCCTCTTTGGCTGTCTTCGGGCGTACCTGGCCCGTCTGACGCCGTCGGAGGCCGTCTTGGATGCCTCTCTGAACCGACTCGGGGCCCCCTTGGGGCGTTTCGGGGCCGTGTGGCAGGCCATCTTGTGCGTCTTGGGGCCTCTGGGCCGCCTCAGCGCCCTCTTGGAGCCGTTTTGGAGGCTTCTTGGGCCGTCATAGGGGTAAGATTGGAGGTTTTTGGGGCCATCTGGGGGCGATCTTGGGGGCCTCTGGGGCCGTCTCGGGTCGTCGGAAGGCCGACAAGAAGCAAATGTCACATTCTGTGAAAGACCAAAGAGAAATCAATGGTGTTGGTCTCTTGGGGCCATCCTTGAGGACCCTTGGAGGCCTCGTGGGCCGTCCTCGTGGCCTCTTCGGTGTTTCTTGGGCCGTTTTGGGCTATCTTGGACAATCTTGGCGGTCGTTGGAGGCCATCTTAGGGTTATTTTGGGGTCTCCTGGGGCCATCTTGGCCGTCTTGGAGGCATCTTGGCCGCCTTGAAGGTCATCTTGAGACAATCTTGAGCGAAAAAGCAGACGAGACACGCACCCCAGTGCAGTAGACTGAGCCCCAGGGTGAGTCCTACAAGAACCAAAAACCATCAGACGTCTAGCACGCCAGGGACCCCTGTGGCAAGACCACGGGGCGCTACCGCCGCCCCCTGTTGATTTATCAAAGAGGTTCCTGGCGTGCTGCACTGGTTCTGGTTCTGTTCCAGAAGAACTCCGCCTGGGGCTTCGGCCCAGCGCGCTGGCCACCGGGAAGGCCGCACAATCCGCCGAACAAGAATGCCCAATCGCTTCGAAGACGGCCAAGATGACCCAAGATGGCGTTCAAGTTCGTCCAAGATGGTTCCAGATGGCCTGCAAGACGGCCCAAGAGGGTCCAAGATGCCTCCAAGTTCGTCCAAGACGCCACCAAGACGGCCTACGCAGCCTTTTGGAGGTTTCAATGGAGTCGCCTGGGAGCCTCCTGGAGGCGTCTTGGAGGCCTCTCGAGGGCCTCCTTGGGCCTCTCGGGGGCCTTTGGGCGCTCTTGGGGGCCTCGTTTGCCACCTTACGGCGTTCCCGGACCGTCTCACGCCGTCGGACTTTAAACGGAGAGGGTTAAAGGCGAGGTATAAATCGAGCATGTACCGCTGCCGTGCCTGGCTCAAGCCGGGCCCGGCCTGATATGTGACTGTGCCTCACCGAGGCGCACTACTTGCATCTGAGATCGGAAAACATCCTTTCCATTGACGATGCCCATCCTACTCTATACTCCAGATCCCATGCTTCGTCTCGCTCTCTTGCTCATGCGATATGAGCCAAAGCCTGGGATATGGAAGCGCCTAAGGCGCCTAAGGCGTAACACATACCTAAGCTTACCAGCTTGTTTTCGACTTGGTAGCGGAGCTGGCTACACTCTCGTGTGGCTGGCTCTCGCTCTGATTCCAGTAATCCACGGCACAACTTGGTGGACTACTACCACGGTGGAATACCATGTTGCGCCGGCTCTGCGAGGAGCGGAGCCAGTCCGCGATCGAGCTAGCGGGGTCACCCGCGAACTCGAGACGCTTTCTCCTACTTCACTGCGCTACTTCACTCCTGACTTCCACCAGATGCCAATCGGCAACTCGATCGAGAACGTGGTCACCCTGCGGGGCTACCCGCAGCGGGGCCACCTGCATCCCGTGCCGGTCAGGCGCCTCACGGCTACCACGCCAGAGCCTGACAAACCACAGCCTAAACCAATCACCGAAGCCGAAATGCATATGCATTGGATCAAGATAACTATCTTCGGCATTCTATGGGTGATAATGGGATGTGCTGTGGGATACATGCGGCAGGGGATGGACGACACGCGTACTACTGGCCCTACATGGGACCCTGCCGGTACTACGCCTTTCCGCGAATATGTTCGCGAAGTACATGCATGGTTAAACGTAACGAGCGGCAATATGACACCACCACAACAAGCTGCAGCACTACAACGAGGCCTTCAGGGTCTGGCTCGTCGTATCGCCATGCAGGTCCCCTCCCAGATCATCAATTATGGTGTAACTGTCAATGGACAGCCAACGGATGCAGTAACCTACATACTGTACTTACTGAGCACCAAATTTGAAAATCTGGAAGATGAGCGCCAGCTCAACTCTGGCACGGCCCTTATCGACTTCCGCGTCGAAAGGGGCGAGCGAATCGACTCGGTATTAGCTCGATTCGAGATGGCCCGTGACGAGGCTAACTCTGTTGGCTTTGTCATCCCCAACTTTCAGATCCTAACGCTGATTCTCTTCAGAGCGTTAGGCGTTGGCGCGTCACGAGCCCAACACCTGCTTGAGCCCTTTAATCATCAGATGCCCCGAACACAAGCAGACTATGACAGGCTGCTGACCAGGATGAGGAACTACGGACATGTTGCCGAGCGCTCTCCTGGCAACATAGCGGGTATCTTCACAGGGCACCACTCACATGCAGGTGTCTACGCCACGACTGCGGGGTCACCCGCTGGTCCTGGCGAGCCAAATCCCTGGGCTGACCCAGCCGATATGCCCAACGAGGCCACTGCCCTTCTAGGGCAGACCGGCCAGGCATCGGCAGAGGCAGCTGAGGCGAACGCCTGGTCGAACTACTCGCCAGGCGCCGCCTACACTGCAAGCCCGCCCTCGGGCACAACCCTCTGGGGCCAAGCGGAGTCATCCGCTCAATGGTCTCAGCCACCCTCACCGTTTGAATCTGGCACTGACACAGATACTTCATCTGACGATGAGCACAATGGAATAGTCTCTGCTGGTAATGACTATCCAGCGGACG